TGCGCTTTCAAGCAGGTGTTGCTCTAGTTCCTGGTGAATTCTGAGAACGGGTTCTCCTGTTGGTTCCTGTCTGGATGAGATCCCTGTCCTCTTTTTCTCCGTGGCTCCTCTGCAGCTCCATCTGGACTCTCAGGATTCCATCTTCCAGAGACCTGTCTGTGGGATCCTGAGCACGTAACTCCATTCCATTGAATTTCTCTTGGTTTCAAGCCCTCATATGAAAAAGGGAAATCAGAGTGTGACTGTACAAGGTAACAGCACAGATGAGAGAAGTGTTTTCTAGGCCGGAAGGGTCTCTGCACTGTTTATCTCTGCACTGTCTTGCAATTGGCAGAGTCATTTAATGTGGTAGAATGAGAAGGCCATACCAATATGTCCACTGGCAAGCGAGTGTCAGTTATTCACAAATGGCTTCGAAACCCACCTGGCAATGGAGTCTGCCTGGCAACAGGCTGTGATTGGATGGCTTCGGATACTGCCTGGCAACAGGCTGTGATTGGTTAGGGCATAGACCTCCCCTTGACCGGATTGGCTGCCTTGGCTATATAAGCTGCTGCACCAACTGAAATAAACGAGTCTGTGGGCTGCTCGCCTCTGGCCTGCTTTCACCAGACTCCCGGGGTCTGTGTGTTGACTCCGCGCCTCTTGCCCCCACCACGCTCCTCCTCTCAGAAAGAATCAACCTCAACAATTTAAAAAGCGGGGTTCAGTGGAAAGGGCGTGGGAAGAAGTTACCAGTGTTCACCACCATCAGCTCTCATCTTCCTCAGTACTTGGAGTAGCGACATCCCAGCTCCCTTTGCAGGGTGGAGGAGCCATGTGACTCTGGTCCCGGACGCTCTGTCTTTTCCTTTCTGGGTGCAGTGGCTTCCGAAGCCTGTGCTATAGACGTTGCTGCCGCCAACTCAAAGCTTGTGTCATCCGGGTCTCTGAGTGGTGTGCGGGGCAGAACTCCATACCACCCTGTGGGATGCGTGGTGGGAGTGAGAAATGAACTTCTGTCATGGTCAGTCTCTGCAGCGTGGCCTTGTGACGGCAGCATGGCACTGCCTATCGTGACAAACACACTGTGCTGAGTCTCAGGAGAAATTCTGGATCCAGCTCTGGTCTATTACACCTTGAGCGACAGGACCAAGTTCTCTCCAATCCTGGAAATTCTTAGATTGAAGGCAGGTGGTTGGTGCAGCGGTTATGACACTGCTTGGAATGCCAGCATCCCGTGTCACAGAGTGCCAGGGTTCACGTCCTGGCTCTGTTTCCAATCCACCTTCCTGCTAATGTGTACCAAGGCAGCAAGCGATGGTTCAAGTACTGGGTCCCTGCCACCCACATGGGAGACCCAGACTGAGGTCCATGCTCCTGATTTTGGCAAGTGCAGTCATAGCTATTGTATTTGGGGTATGATGGAAGATATCTGTCTCTCTTTCTACCTCCCTCTATGCTGCTCTGTCTTATAAATTAAAAAACAAAAAACCCAAAGACTCAAAAAAAAACCCTGACACTGCAACAAAGCAGTCCCATGTCAGTGACAAAAAATTATTTTTTAAAAAAGATTATTTATTTGAAAGGCAGAGTTACAGCAAGAGAGAGAGAAAGAGATCTTCTATTGGCTGGTTTACTCCCCAGATGGCTACAATGACCAGGCCTGGCGCAGGCTGAAGCCAGGAGTCAGCAGTTTTATCCCAGTCTCCCACATGGGTAACAGGGGTCCAAATACTTGGCCCATCTTCTGCTGGTTTCCCAGGCACATCAGCAGGGAGCTGTATGGGAAGGAGCAGCTGGGACTTGAACTGGCAGTCATATGGGATGCAACTGTCGCAGTGACTTAACCCACTGTGCCATAACACTAGCCCCAAAACATTCACTTTTATAGACAGAATAAAATAAAATTTCAGCTATATCAAACCATCCCAGAGAATCAATCGAGGTAGAATAACAGAGTTTAAAATCTTAAAAGGTGTATTTAAATTGTTTCATACACATACTTGCCTTAAAGACAGTGCGTTTAGCATAGCCGCACTGAAGGTAGTAATTTAGGACTGAAGGTCCCTATCATGAACCTTGATTAAAACAACTAAGTAACGTTGTGAAATACAGCCACATCCTCAGTGTCGATGAAAAACAGGTGCATTCGCTCCTCATGGTAGCTGAAAATCCTCCACATGATTTGAATTTTTTCATCAATTTTTAAAGATTTATTTATTTATTTGAAAGTCAGAGTTACACACAGAGAGAAGGAGAGGCAGAGAGAAAGAAAGAGAGAGAGAGGTCTTCCATCCACTGGTTCACTCCCCAGTTGGCCACAATGGCCAGAGCTGCACCGATCTGAAGCCAGGAGCTTCCTCTGGGTCTCCCACATGGGTGTAGAGACTGAAGCCCTTGGGCCATTTTCTACTGCTTTCCCAGGCAATAGCAGAGAGCTGGATCAGAAGTGGAGCAGCTGGGTTTTGAACCGGCGCCCATATGGGATGCCAGCTCTGCAGGCAGTGGCTTTACCCGCTATGCCACAGCACCGGCCCCATGATTTGAATTTTTGTTTGGATTTTTACCATCATTCAATGCCTTTGTGTCAATTATTATCTTTCATTGCTGCCAATGAACTGATATCTGCCACAGCCCCTCTCACCCTTGCAGCTAGAAAGCACATCTCAAACTCCATTGGAAGCATTTTTTAAAAATGATTTATTTATTTGAAAGGCAGTGTGACAGAGAGAGAATAGAAAGAGAGGTCTTCCATCCGCTGGTTCCCTCCCTAAATGGCCACAACAGCCAGGGCTGGCCAAGCCAAAGCCAGGAACCAGAAACTCCACGTGGGTCTTCCATGTGGGTGGTGGGGACCAGTGGAGAATTGAACCTACATTCCATTATGGGATGTTAGCATTGCAAGCAGCAACCTAACCTGCTGTGCCATAACGCCAGCTTCTTTCTCCATAGGATTTGAACACAGTGATACAGACATGGGCATTGAGGCCAGAACCAGCCTCCTGAGAGTGAAGCAGAGATTTTAGGCCCACACGTTGTCGTCACCTTTCTGAGTGCTTGTGTCATTCTGCTTAAGGTTTTTTTTTTTTTTTTTTTTTTTTTTTATAGGCAGAGTGGACAGTGAGAGAGAGACAGAGAGAAAGGTCTTCCTTTTCCGTTGGTTCACCCTCTAATGGCCGCCGCGGCCGGCATACCGCGCTGATCCGATGGCAGGAGCCAGGTGCTTCTCCTGGTCTCCCATGGGGTGCAGGGCCCAAGCACTTGGGCCATCCTCCACTGCACTCCCTGGCCACAGCAGAGAGCTGGCCTGGAAGAGGAGCAACCGGGACAGAATCCGGCGCCCCAACTGGGACTAGAACCCGGGGTGCCGGCGGATTAGCCTAGTGAGCTGTGGTGCTGGCCATCTGCTTACGGTTTTTTCAAGCATCCTGCACGAAGGTGGAATTCCCTGGCCCCCGCACTCCGGTCGGACCATGTGTGACAATGCATTAGCTTCCTACAGCAACTGCAGCAGCACAGATTCGTGACCTACTTGCTAAGACCTGTTTGACAGCTGCAGAGACACCTTTTGGGCCATGGCCGAAACCTACTTAGCAGGAAGAGCTGAAATACTTCTCTCTGCTGGCCATTTGGTGAGGCATGGTGATGGTGTCTGTGGGGCCTGGAGCCGCGCTGTTTGTGCTCAGAGCCCAGTTACAGCCCCTGAGCCATGTAAACCTGGACAAGCGAATGAACTTCTTGGAGTTTCCACTTCCACATTTTTACACTGGGGGGACTGACTCCATGATTAAGTGTCAAAAGCTTAGAAAAGCTCCTGGTACAAGATAAGCATCCAGGAAATATGAGACTCATACGAATTGTTTTAATTGATTTTCTTTGGATATGTTTACTCGTATTGATCACAGGTAAGAGCTGCAGAGTGCAATGGTATCTTCCGATTAATTTATTTCTAATTAATTTTCAGTGGTCACCATGTTCTCCAGAGAAACAGAACAGCATGCAGGGTGTGTGTATGGGGGTGGGGAGTGTGTGTGAGGGGAGAGTGTGTTGTGTGTATGTGTGTTATTTTGAGAAACTGGCCTATTATAGAGGCTGGCAAGTCCACAAGTCACAGAGCAAGTAGCAGGCAGGATTCGCCGGGACAGCCAGTGCTGTAGGTTAACTGTGACAGCCTCAGGCTGAGAACCCAGAGCGAGCCGAGGGTGGGACGCGAATCCATCCACAAGCCGTCTGCTACGGAACCCTCTCTTGCTCAGGGCAGGGGAGAAGTTCACCGCAGGCAGGCATTTGGATTGGGAAGACCCAGCCACTCCTTGGAGAGCAACCTGCTGCACTCAAAGTCCACAGACTTAAAAGTTAATCCCATAAAAAAGTAAAGCTTCACAGGAACATGGTGTCTACACAGCTGGACACCATGCCCAGGGAAGCTGAAGGCGGCACGAACCCTCACCGCCACTCTTCTGAGACAGTGTGTAGCTGAGGCCAGCAGGCAGTGTCCGATAGTGAGCGAACCCTGCTGGATGCTGGGTGCAGTCTGATTTGAAGTGGAACTTGATTCCGAGTCTGATCGTGCAGAGGCAGACCTAAACACTGTCCTGGGCCAGTTCACTTAGGTCAGACTACAGGGGAATACGGTAGCCACCCCCAAATCCCTGGCTACCGCTTTGTCCATGGGAGGGATACTCCAAGATCCTGAACCCACAGATAGTACCAAACCCTACATACATGTGTTTTCCTATACCCTCAAAACCATGGTGAAACTTTATTTACAAAGGCACAGCAAAGGATCAATGAAAACTAATAATAAAATAGAACAACTACTGTAATAAAAGTTACGTGGATGTCCGTCTCTCTCTCTCTTTCCCCCTCTCTCCCTCTCACCCTCTCTCTTTCTCTCTCTCTCTGTCTCATCCTATTGCATATCCAGGGGTCAGTACCATCCAAGGCTGACCACAGGTATCTGAAACCTCTCAAGGCAAAAACCGCAGTTAAGGAGGGACCACTGTACTGACACTCACCAAAATCATGTTTGCTATTTAGAGGAAGTCCTTCTGGGAATCCATGTCTCCAGGAACATGAGTTACCGGCAGGCGGCCTTGTGGCCCTGGAAAAGAACAAAGAGAGTGAGGTTGTTAAGGGGCGCTTTTCCCAAGTGATGGAAAGCTTTGGACAAATGTCTGCCTTCTCCCTTGTCCACAGCACACCCCTGTGGGATCTGGAGCAATGGGGCCCCAGAGAGGGTTTCTCCCTGATAAGTTCTTAAGATCCGCCTGATTTCACTGCATCTAAACTTCAAAATGTTTCACGTCTCTAACATCTGGGAAGTTACAGTACATCACACAGCCAATGGCGGGCCAAGGTGTTCTTGTAGTTAGTGGTGGTGCTGTTTCCTTCCTAGCAGCACAGGAAGCAAAATCGATCTTACACAGGATGAGATCGGGGTGGCGTGAAATACGGTAACTGCCCTTGGATTACTCCTCACTCGGGCTTCACTGCATCACTCAGTACTGCCATGTAGCAGAGTTCTAAGGACGGGATGAGGGGGTTGAGGGAGGGAGGAAAAGGGGGAAACATGGTCATCTTAGAACTGTGCCTATCAAGTACATGAAATCTGTTCTCTGTATGTTAACACAAAATTTTTTCAACAAGCTCAGGGAGGGCCAGTGTTGTGGTGCAGTGGGTTAAGCCACCGCCCGAGACATTGACATCCCATATGGTGCAAAGTAACTCCATGTGGGTGGCTCACATGGGTGGCAGAGGCCCAAGCCCTTGGGCCATCTTCTGCTGCTTTCCCAGGCACATTAGCTGGGGGCTCCTTTGGAAGTGGAGCAGCTGGGAGTAGAACCAGCACTTACACGGGATGCAGGCGCTGCAGGCTGTGGCTTAACCTGCTGTTCCACACTGCCGGCCCCCAAATGACAAACTCTTATTGATGGACTTCACATGTGGACAAGCTGTCTCTCTGTAGCAACATTTAAGCTAGGAAAATGAGCTGCTCTCAGGCGTTTTTCCATAAAGGGTTTAGTAGCATAATACTCTCCTGGCTTAGGGCCTTGCTGTTTCCTTCCCAGCCCTTTATTTAAGAATTTTGGTTATGGATGAAGCACGACATAAAACAAGTTTACATAACAGAGCCTGCACCACATAATCATACATTACAGCGGCGATAAAAGAAAAATAAGCACTTGACGTACAATGACTCTCCAGAAAGAATTTAAATTACAAACCTACGCTGAAACCTCCTGGCATGTATTAGACTATGGAACTGATACTATCCAGCTGGGATATATGAATTACTGTGTTTGGAGTCAGCACTTGACTCTTAATCAAATCCTCATGCTACTTAATCAGAGATGTTATCACTTAACACTGCTTAGGTGATATTTTCAAAGAAATACATACACATTGTATGTATACATATGTGCCTTTCCAAGAGGCATTTTAAACTAAAGTTGTCCCCTACTTCCTATCGAATAAGTAAAAGTCATTTTAAGGCCGGCGCCGCGGCTCACTAGGCTAATCCTCCGCCTAGCGGTGCCGGCACACCGGGTTCTAGTCCCGGTTGGGGCGCCGGATTCTGTCCCGGTTGCCCCTCTTCCAGGCCAGCTCTCTGCTGTGGCCAGGGAGTGCAGTGGAGGATGGCCCAGGTGCTTGGGCCCTGCACCCCATGGGAGACCAGGAAAAGCACCTGGCTCCTGGCTCCTGCCATCGGATCAGCGCGGTGCGCCGCCCGCAGCGTGCCGGCCGCGGCGGCCATTGGAGGGTGAACCAACGGCAAAGGAAGACCTTTCTCTCTGTCTCTCTCTCTCACTGTCCACTCTGCCTGTCAAAAAAAAAAAAAAAAGTCATTTTAGCTGTGAGAGTTTAACTCTTCAAAAATGGAAAACTTTAAACAGTAATGTTGTATCACTGAGCAGTGAATGACTTATTTATCTTTTAAATATTTATTTATTTATTTGAAAAGCAGAGTTACAGAGAGAGCACACGAGATCTTCCATCCACTAGTTTGCTCCCCAAATGGCTGCAACAGCTGGGGCTGGACCAGGCCTAAGCCAGGAACCAGGAGTTTCTTCCAGGTCTCTCACGTGGGTGCAGGGGCCCAAGGACGAGGGCCATCCTCTGCTGCTTTTCCAGGCCTTAGCAGGCAGCTGGACTGGAAGTGGAGCAGCCGGGACTTGAACCGGTACACATATGGGATGACAGTGTCACAGGCGGCAGCTTAACCCTTTGTGCCACAGCATGGGCTCCTGGACGGTAGTTTAGGAAGAGGGTCCTAGTATTTGCTTGGTATCTGTCTCCTGGGGTGTTACAGGGATTATGGGCTTTTTCTGTGGGTGACTCCCAATTGCCAAGTTCAGCAAAGTACACGATCCTGTTTTCACTTGTGAGAAAATGGACGTTCAGAAATGTGAAGTAACTTGCCCAGCGTCCTGAAGCAAGTAAGTTGTTTACACTAGAGAGCATGACCTTTCTATTCAAAACTGTCAATGAATTCGACCTGTGATAGAGACCTGGGTTTAAGGCGACAAATGCTTTGGCAAGCCCAGCCCGTTAGCACAGGTGAGAACAGGATCTGAAACAAGTAATTTTATAAGCCAGAACACCTGACAGATAAACTCTCAGTAGCTGACGAGCGAGCGAGCTGTTATGCAGTTAATCGTTTCAAAAACAGTCCGCATCATTGCTTGGTCTCCTAGATACTGAAATGTGAAACTCCCTGATGCACACTTAACAAGGACCCACACAGAGATGCTTTGTTCGGTCCGTGTTTCTGTGGGGTGGTGTAACTCCGCAGTCCCTGTCAGTCAACAAATGCCGCACGGCGCTGACCAGTGACTCACCAGCTCCAGGGCCAGCTCTGCCTGCCCAGCTGCAGAATATTCCCCCATAATTGCATTAGCAAAGCAACCAGCGCTTATCACACGCCTCCCACTTTCCTGGTCTGGTTCTAAACTCGGGATTTTAATTTTTATTTAAAAGCTCTGTGTAGATTGTTTTAAAACTCACTTAATGCAAAAAAAATTGTTATAGATCTTTTAAACATTTTTGGTTCTACAATGAAAATTTCTAAATATGTTTGGAGCTAATTTTTTTTTATTTATTTTTTTGACAGGCAGAGTGGACAGTGAGAGAGAGAGAGAGACAGAGAGAAAGGTCTTCCTTTTGCCGTTGGTTCACCCTCCAATGGCCGCCGCGGGCAGGAGCCAGGTGCTTCTCCTAGTCTCCCATGGGGTGCAGGGCCCAAGCACTTGGGCCATCCTCCACTGCACTCCCTGGCCACAGCAGAGAGCTGGCCTGGAAGAGGGGCAACCGGGACTAGAACCTGGTGTGCTGGCGCCGCAAGGCGGAGGATTAGCCTAGTGAGCAGCAGCGCCGGCCTTGGAGTTAATTTTTAAAGAACCTGCAGGGCTAGTACTATGGCATAGCCTCCACCTGCCACGCTGGCATCCCACGTGGGTGCCGGGTCAAGACCAGGCCGCTCCACTTCCAACCCAGCTCCCTGGGAATGCCGCTGGGAAAGCCGAGAATGGCACCAGAGCTTGGGCCCCTGCATCCACGCGGAAGGCCCAAAGAAGCTCCTGGCTCCGGACCTGGCCAGTCCTGGCTGTTGCGGCCATTTGGGGAGTGACCAGCAGATGAAATTCTTGCTCTCTCTCTCGTCTCTCCTCCTCTGTTAACTCTGCCTTTCAAATAAGTAATCAATAAAAAATAAGTAAATTTTACAAATAAACGTAACAGGTTAAGCCTCTGCCTGGTGCCTCATCCCACATGGACTGCTGGCTCCTGTCCTGGCTGCTCCGCTTCCTGGGAAAGCAAAGATGGCGCAATGCTTGGTGCCCAGCACCCACGTGGGCAAACCAGAGGAGGCTCCTGGCTTCAGACGGGCACAGCTCCTGCCACTGGGGCTGTAGGTAAAATGGTGCAGTATCAGCGGCACATCTGTGACCAGACACCATCCTGGGCTCTAGCCCACAAGCCAGGTGACCCCATGGCCCAACCACAGGGGCCAGCTCCACCCCCACGCTAATGGGATTCGCGCTCCCACGTCCCTGCCTGCCCCGGGCAAAGGTTTAGCAGGACCTGTTCCTCTCTCACCATGCCGCCCTGGCCCCCCGGCCTGGTGGGCTTCCCCCACCCTACAGTAACCCTTTCTTCTTGACTCTGGGGTCTGGGCACCAATGTTAAGGCCGCCACAACACGGGAGTTAGAGGCAAGGCTTGTGGTCGGTCGGGGAGCATAAGCGAGGGGCCCCTGGTCGGCAACAGGTGCTCTCAAACCTCGGCCCCGGGGGCGGGCGCCAACCCCACGGACACCGTGGTCGGGCCAGGGCCCACGATGGCGCCTTTTTAGCAACAGCGGCCATCTGGGGAGTGAGCCAGAGGACGGGAGACCCCGAACTCAAATAACTAAAATCTTTCAATAACAAGGCCCTCCCGGAGGCCACGCTCCCCGTGGTCACGGGCCAGTCTGACAGGACAAAGGCCACAGAGCTACCTCCACTCTGTTCTTCACATAGCCAGCGTCCGAGACATTGGGAAAAAAGCGCGTTTTCCCCCGCGGACGACACACACGGACACGCACACGCGCTGGCGGTGTCCGGCGTGGCCCCACAGCGGCGGGGGCGGCCCGGGAGCCGCCATGGGCGTCTTCCTCAGCCGGGGCGGCGCGGGAGCAGCCACGGGGCCCGCAGCACGAAGCAGCAAGGCGGTCCGCACGCCTGGGGGGGCGGCGTCCGGAAGCCCGGCGTCGCGCGGGACCGTGGAAGCCGCCCACGCCCACGCCCGCAAGTCCCGCCTCACGGGCCTCGCTCCCTTCGCTCCGCCCCTCGCCACGCCCACGCCCACAAGCCCCGTCCTCGTTCCCCTACGCCCTGCCCCCGCCCCACGCCCGCAAGTCCCGTCCTCGCTCCCTACGCCCCGCCCTCGCCACGCCCCACTCCCGCCCACAAGCCCCGGTCCCCTCTCTACACCCCGCCCCCGCCCCCGCCCACGCCCGCAAGTCCCGTCCTCGCTCCCTACGCTCCACCCTTCACCCCGCCCCACGTCCACAAGCCCCGGTCCCTTCTCTACGCCTTGCCCCTCGCCGCCCCCCCGCCCGCAACCCCTTCCTCGCTCCCTACGCTCCGCCCCTCACCCCGCCCCACGCCCACAAGCCCCGGTCCCTTCTCTACGCCCCTCCCCTCGCCCCGCCCCGCCCCACCCCAACAAGTCCCGTCCTCGCTCCCTACGCCCCGCCCCCGCCCCGCCCCACCCCCACAAGCCCCTTCCTCGCTCCCTACGCCCCGCCCAAGCGCCGTCCTCTCCCTACGCCCCCCCCCTCGCTCGCCCCACCACCCTCCACAAGTCCCGTCCTCGTTCCCCTACGCCCTGCCCCCGCTCCGCCCCCCAAGCCCCGTCTCCCAAGCCCGGTCCTCGCTCTACGCCCCTCCCCTCGCCCCGCCCCATGCCCGCAAACCCCGCCCCGCTTCCATCCGCCCCGCCCCCTCGCGGCGCCCTCGCGCCTCGCGGGCCCGGGAGTTGCCCGGGCGACGGACGCGGCGTGTGGGCGCCGGCGGCAGGGAGCGCGCCGGGCGGCGGGTGCGTCAGCGCTCGGATGGAGGACGAGGAGTCTGAGGAGGCGGGCGAGTCCCTGGAGGCCACGCTCGAACGGTTCAAGGCCCTCCCCAGGTGACGCGGCCTGCTCCTCCCGGCCAGGGTCCCGGGGGCGCTCCGGGGGCGCACGCCGCGCACGGGGGTGCGCCGCTCCCCCGGTCGCTGCCCTTCGTGACCCTTCTCCCGGCGCCTCGTCTCCGGTTTCTTTTAGATAATGGAGACGGGCGTTTCTGGAAGATCCTGAAAACCCATTCCAGTTAGCGCCCGTGAGACCCTGGCGGGGGTGTCTTTGGAAAGGGTCGGCTAGGGAACACTGCCCATGGGCTCCGGGGGCCTGCTGCGCCCCGTGGGAGCTGGGCCAGGGGAGCCCCGGGGCGCGCCGTGTCCAACCTGTTCTGGCTGCTGACGCATCTCAATGATTTCGTGCCTTGAATTCCTTGGCGTTCCTTGTGGGGCAACCAACCAGACGCCCAGTGCCCGGTGTCCATGTGGTGCCTGTGGGTGCTGGTGGTAACTTCTGTCCACCCGCGGCGCCAGGGGGCTGGGCGGAGAACCTCTGGCCCACGAGCCCAGCCTTGGTCGGTGACTGACGATACTCTATATAAACAAGTCAACTGCAAACCAGTGAGCCAGGGGTTAGCTGTGGAAGCAGAAACATGAGGCAGGGAGAAGGCAGACTGTGCATGTGTGCACACGCGTGCCTGTGTGTGTCACTGGGGAGGGGTCATTGGAAGCTGGCATTGAGGGTGAGGCCCTGCAGGCTTGACGGAGCCCTGTGGTTCTGTTGCAGACCAAGTGTTAGGTAGAGAGATGAGACAGGAGAGTGGGCAGCAGGGGGCCGGTGTGGCTGGAGCAGCGGACAGAGCGGGAGGAGTGAGTGGCAGAGGGGAGGTCAGAGGTGGCCCATGGTGCGCAGATCCTGTTGCTGGGGATGAGACAGGGAGGTAGGGGAGTTTGGAGTCATGCTCCCGAGTCATGTTTCGTTTTGATACTGGATTATGGGGCCAAGGGCAGGAGCAGGGAGCCAGCCAGGGGACCACTGCCCTAGTCCTTGTGAGCCACGATTCCCCGGGGACACAGTGGTCGCAGGTGCAGCAAGATGTCAGACGGCAGCTGTAAGTCACAGATGAGATGTGTGAGCTGGCCTGGAGGGGGAAACTGAGATTTTCTGACCCAATACCCAGAAGAACGGAGTTGCTGCTACCAGCTCTGGTGGGAGGGGATATTGTCATCTTACTTTGGGACCTGCTGTGTCGTAGGGACGATTAGAGAGCCACTCAGGCTAAGGAGACAGGGCTAGCCTGGGTGCGTTAGTGCAGAAGCGATGAGCACAAAGATGGTGTCTTAAGCTTTGAGACTCGCTGAGACGGACCAGGAAGTGAGTGTACGTAGAGGAGGGGCCCCTGAACTGAGCAGGGCGTCAGATAATCCTTTTCCTCTTTGAACACCAAGCCGTGAGAGCGTGGACAGCCCTCCTCTGTCTGCGTTGTCAGGCCCCCGTGGGCATGGCCTAGTGTGGAAGTGCCATTGCGGCCTATTAATGCACATTCATGGCTCTCTTTTCTAGAGTAACAGCAATCCTAATCTTATATCTGATTCGTTAAAAACTCTGTTATCTTCCCAAGACCATGTTTCATGCATAACAACCCACTTGCTACTCAGAAATGGGGTTGCTGAGACTATAAATAAGGCCTGTGTGGGGACTACTTAGCTCATTTGTTGTGATGGGGGTGAGGCTGTCATCTGAGATGAGAGGTGTTTGGAATTTGAAGGGAAGCTGGAATCACTTAGATTTTTTTTTTTTTTTTGACAGGCAGAGTGGACAGTGAGAGAGAGAGACAGAGAGAAAGGTCTTCCTTTGCCGTTGGTTCACCCTCCAGTGGCCGCTGTGGCCGGCGCACCGCGCTGATCCGATGGCAGGAGCCAGGTGCTTCTCCTGGTCTCCCATGGGGTGCAGGGCCCAAGCACTTGGGCCATCCTCCACTGCACTCCCGGGCCACAGCAGAGAGCTGGCCTGGAAGAGGGGCAACCGGGACACAATCCGGCGCCCCAGCCGGGACTAGAACCCAGTGTGCCGGCGCTGCTAGGCGGAGGATTAGCCTAGTGAGCCACGGCGCCGGCCCGAAATCACTTAGATTCTGAAGGAGCCATGCCCTCCTGAACCAGTGACACGAAAGGTTGGGCCTGGGGTGACCCTCGTGTCATGGTCTGCCCTCACCAGGGACCAGAGGAAGAATCTGACGCTCCAGGCTTAGCATTTTCTTTTTACGAAATCTTCATTTATTTCCATTTTATTTGAAAGGCAGAGAGGGGAAGAGACAGATCGATCATCCATCTGCTGGTTCATTCCCCCAGTGCCTGCAGCAGCTGGGACTGCACCAGTCCAAAGCTGGGAGTTGGGACCCCGTCTGGGTCCCATGCGGGTGGCAGGGACCCGAGTGGCTGAGTGATCACCCTTGCCTCGCAGGTGCGCATTAGCAGGAAGCTGGATCGGGCGTGGAGCCAGGACGCAAGCCCAGGCACTCTCGTGTAGGTGCCCCAAGTGCGTCCTGACCTGGAGGCCAAAGGCCTGCCCCCACCACTGGTACTCCGGGGTGTCATTGTGACCTCTGGTCATGCAGTCGGAGTGGAAGGGCAGCTGGTGCCAGCACAGACTTGCTGCAGGGTCACCCTTGCTGTGGGCTCCAGCAGAAACAGGGAGCTCTGGCCGGCGCCGCGGCTCACTAGGCTAATCCTCCGCACTGCGGCGCTGGCACACCGGGTTCTAGTCCCAGTCAGGGCGCCGGATTCTGTCCCTGTTGCCCCTCTTCCAGGCCAGCTCTCTGCTGTGGCCAGGGAGTGCAGTGGAGGATGGCCCAGGTGCTTGGGCCCTGCACCCCATGGGAGACCAGGAAAAGCACCTGGCTCCTGGCTCCTGCCATCGGATCAGCGCGGTGCGCCGGCCGCAGCACGCTGGCCGCGGCGGCCATTGGAGGGTGAACCAACAGTAAAGGAAGACCTTTCTCTCTGTCTCTCTCTCTCACTGTCCACTCTGCCTGTCAAAAAAAAAAAAAAAAAAAAAAAAAAAAAAAAAAGAAAAGAAAGAAAAGAAACAGGGAGCTCTGCCTGACACCTGGGAAGTGGCTGGAGGTAGCAGACACAGTGTGGGGTGTGGTGCCTGCCGTCCCCGGTCAGTTCTTCATGAAGGCCTGAAGTAGCAACATTCTGGATGAAACTGAGAACATTTGAAGTGGTCCTTTGTTGAAGAATTCATGTGACTTTAAAATGCTTTATTTGGAAAGAATTTCACATCTACAGAAAAGTTGCCAGATTAAAACAAAGAATGCCCACATCCCTTTCACCTAGAATTTTCTATTTTTCATATTTTTCTTTAAAAAAAAGATGTATTTATTTGAAAGGCACACACATACACACATACACACATGGGGCTGGAGGGGGAGACCCACTTTTCATCTGCTAGTTCACTTCCCAGATGGCCACAACAGCCAGATCTGACCAGGCTGAAGCGGGGAGTCGGGAGCTGCGTCCTGGTCTCCCACATGGGTGGCAGTGCCCAGGTGTTTGAGTCATGTGTTGCTGCCTTCCCAGGCGCATGAGCAGGGAGTTGGATTGGAAGTGGGGCAGCTGGAACTTGAACTGGCGCCCTGATATGGGATGCCGGCACTGGAAGCAGCAACTTGATCTCCAGCTTCGTCGTGCTCCCACTACACTGGTGCACACACACACGTGCATACACACTCACATTCAGGCCCCGTTTACCGTCTGTCTCTCCACAGCGGGAGATCAGCATTGCACAGAACTCCCGTCCAGCCCACATGCCCATTCAGGTTGTGCCTACCTGGTCAAGGAGCCTATCCAGACATACACGTTGGCCTTTCAGACATTCATTCTGCCGGAGTTCCTCATCCTTTCCCCGTCTCTCATGTCCCTGACACTTCTGGGAAGGACAGACTTTGTGTCCTGCGGACGCCCAGCCCTGTCTGGGCCCACACACGCTCCTCCCTAGGGGCTCAGGCTGTGTTCTGTGGACACCCAGCCCTGTCTGGGCCCGCGCATGCTCCTCCCTGGGGGCTCAGGCTGTGTCCTGTGGACGCCCAGTTCTGCCTGGGCCCATGGACGCTCCTCCCTAGGGGCTCAGGCTGTGTCCTGTTAGGGGCTCAGGCTGTGTCCTGTGGACGCCCAGCCTTGCCTGGGCCCGCGGACACTCCTCCCCAGGGGCTCAGGCTGTGTTCTGTGCCTTGGCCCAGGGACGCTCCTCCCTAGGGGCTCAGGCTGTGTCCTGTGGACGCCCAGCCCCGCCTGGGCCCATGGACGCTCCTCCCTAGGGGCTCAGGCTGTGTCCTGTGCCTGGGCCCGGGGACGCTCCTCCCTAGGGGCTCAGGCTGTGTCCTGTGGACGCCCAGCCCCGCCTGGGCCCATGGACGCTCCTCCCTAGGGGCTCAGGCTGTGTCCTGTGCCTGGGCCCGGGGACGCTCCTCCCTAGGGGCTCAGGCTGTGTTCCAGGCAGGAGCGCCCTGGCCAGGAGCTCTGCTTCCGGTTGAGCAGGCACAGTTGTTCAGTCATTTTCTGCATTAACCTTGGTCGCCTTGTGTTGGTGTCGTCCAAGGTTCTCTGTCTTAATTTTGTGATGCTTTCCAGTGTAATAAATTTTTATTTAGTGGGTGGATGTTGCAGACTTTTCTCTTCCTAAGCAAGTATATACTGACACCCCCCACCCCAATGTCATCGACAGCTCATGTTCCCCAAGGAGCCTTGGGTCCTTCTGATTGAGGATAGTATTTAGAAAGCAACCTCTTGGCATTTGGTGTGCTCACTGCTTCGGGGTGTCATTGTTCCAGCCCCTCATCGAGCATAATAGAAACAAATGTGTACAGACATACGTGGGGGTGGGCCTCTGGCACAGCATTAAGATGCTGGTTAGACACCGGCATCCCACATTGAAGTGCCTGGCTTTGGCTCCTGGCTCCAGCTCTTGACTCCAGCTTCCTGCTAATGCAGACCCGGAGGCAGTGGTGGTGGCTCAAGCATTTGGGTTCCAGAAACCCACGTGGTAGGCCCAGGTAGTTCCTGGCTACTGGCTTTGGCCCCCTGGCTGTTGCAGGCGTTGGGAAGTGAACCAGAGGATGGAGCTCACTCTTTGTCTCACTGTCTGGCTCTCAGATAAGTAAATATTTTCTAAAAATGTATATGTGTAGATATATTTATATACACACATGCACACAATTATACCTGTAACTATTTGTCTATCTGTCTATGTGTTTTTCTACTCGTACCCTTAGCCTTCCCTATCTGTGAGTTCTGCATCTGTGGATTCAACCAGCCAGGGACTTAATACAGTTTTAAAAATCACATCTATACTGACATTTACTAAACAATACAGCATAGCAACTAGTTGCATAGCGTTCATCTTGTGTCAGATATTATAAATAATCTAGCAGTGACTTAAGGAATACGGGTGAATGTGTGCCAGTTATATGCAAATGCTGACATCACGAAGCAGGAAGTAGAAAAGACAACATATGCTGACCTGAAGTCATCAAACCCGCTGTGGGAACCGCCCTCCAGGGTACCCCCCCACCCACCGTGATCCAAAGACCTCCCACAGGTCCCACCTCTCAGATACCATTGGGTCAAGTCTCTGCCCTTAATCTGTTGACTTCAGAGTTCATACAGCTATATGAGTTTTGGGGAGACAAATCTTGCTGAACCTATTCCACCAACAGTAGCACAGGAAACAATAATAGATAAGCTATAAATAGAAGGGGCTGTAAATAGAGTATGAATCAAACTATTATATATAAATATAAATATATAATAGAATATGAATATATAAACATATATAATATATATAATATATATCTATAGATATACTTGATATAAATAAATAATAAGTTAAAATAATTAAATATAAATATATAAAATATATAAATATATAATATATATAAATATATAAATAGAATATGAATCATATTCAGAAAAAATAAAATGGGCGTCTATAGAGCAGTGTGCCACAGTCCCGGGCTACTGGTAATCCATGGATTCCTACTGAATGTCATTCACCAACCCCTTAAATTTTTCTAAAGATTTATTTATTTATTTTAAAGGAAGGGTTACAGAAAGAGAGAGAGAGAGGGAGAGATACTTTCCATTCGCCGGTTCACTTCCCAAATGGCCACAACAGCCAGGGCTGGTCCGAGCTGAAGCCCAGAGCGAGGAACTTCATCAGGGTCTCCCACGTAGGCGCCGGGGCCCAACCACTGAGCCATCCTCCACTGCCTTTCCAGGTGCATCAGCAGGGAGCTGCATCAGGAGTGGAGCAGCCGGGACGTAATCACAGGGCCCACAGGCAGTGGTTCAACCTGCTGTGCCACAATGCTGGCCCCAGAATATTGAAAATATAATAGGACTTACCCCAACCGTACACATTCATGTACATTCCTAAGAAAGTATCTACGATAGGGCCAGTGCTGCGGCTCACTAGGCTAATCCTCCACCTTGCGGCGCCGGCACACCGGGTTCTAGTCCCGGTCGGGGCGCCGGATTCTGTCCCGGTTGCCCCTCTTCCAGGCCAGCTCTCTGCTATGGCCAGGGAGTGCAGTGGAGGATGGCCCAGGTGCTTGGGCCCTGCACCCCATGGGAGACCAGGAAAAGCACCTGGATCCTGGCTCCTGCCATCGGATCAGCGTGGTGCGCCGGCTGCAGCGGCGGCCATTGGAGGGTGAACCAACGGCAAAGGAAGACCTTTCTCTCTGTCTCTCTCACTGTCCACTCTGCCTGTCAAAAATAATAATAATAAAAAAAAAAAGAAAGTATCTACGATGTAAAGTGCATTTAACCCTTTTTTTCCCCCTAGATATAACATTTCTGATGACTTGAAGGTGGGCTTTTTCAACACAGACCATGCGACACAAACAGACTACAGTGAAATTTTGCCGGTGAAAGAATTAAGTTCGTCTACGCAGGAGTTAGCGCAGGTAACACTGTATTGATTCTTAAACTTCTGAGATGGTCTTTAGATATTATTTGCCTTCATGTCGCTTTCATTGCAGAACTGAAATGGTTAAAATTTTAAAAATCTTAGCATCGTTGAAAAACTGATGTGAGTTGTGTGTGTGTTTTTTTTTTAAGTTAATGTAAGCTCTTATTTGTATTTTTGTCTTAATGTGGCATGCCTACATATGTCACCTTGTTTGGGGATATGCTTGCTTAGTCTTTGACATGAGCGTTTTCTCTGTGTGAGACATTGAACACGCTATAGCATACTTTACGCATGCAGAGGGATCTACTTGCCGTCCAGCGTAGAGCTTTGTCAAATCTGCATTCTCACATCTTCCCTTTAGATCTTTTTCGGTTGTAGAGGAAGGGAACATTTCATGTACATCAGCCATCTAATTACAGAACTCTGTGACGTGATGTCACATTCCACTGCAGATACTCTCCCCTGCCTGGCCTTGGCTGTTTTTCACTGGATATAATTCAGAAATTGTTCCGCCCTGGTACCTAAAGACTCCTCATTCTGTCAACGGATGTTGTGTCGCAAGATGCGCATCACACAGTGAGCCGCCCCCAGTGACGGCCTTGGACGAGTCCTGCCCATGCTCTCCTGCCAGTGACTCTGTGGTGCCAGTGTCCGAGGGTGGAGTTTTGGTCGGAGGATGTGTGCATCAGTTACCGTGGGGTTCAGGACCGAATTGCCCTGTGTCGCTCCGACAACACTCCCACTGCTGGCTCTAAGGGCGCCTTTCCCACGTTCCTGCCAAGTTGTCGCTTCATGTGTGACAGCTGCCTGAGAGAAGTTTTCAGTTTTATCCCCTGGTAACTAGGCTGTCCCAGTGACTAAGCTTTGGTCAGTAGGATTTCCATGGAGAAGGCACGTGGCAGCTTTGGGTAACTCATCAACAGTCAGTTCATATGCACCCTCTGCCTCCTGCCCCTCCCTCCCTCCTTCCCCCCTCCTCCCCTCTGTCCCTCCCTCCTGCCTGCCTGCCCTCTTCCCTCCCCCCCACTCTCCCTCCCTCCCTCCCTCCCTCCTTCCCTCCCTCCTCTTGTCCCTCCCTGCCTCCTTCATTCCCTCTTCCTTCCTTCCTTCCCCCCTGTCTCCCTCCCCTCCTCCCTCCTTGCCTTCCCTGTGGCCCTCAGAATACAGAACACATTTGGACCCCAGCGAGATAAACAGTGGAATCTTAGATCATTTTCCCCACTGTCTAGGCAGGTTGCTAATGAAGGAGAGCTGCATTTATGGCTCATTTATATGTCTGTTATTTGGAATTTTTGTTATAGTGAAAGTAAAATCCTATACATGTTGAAATCAGATGAAAATTTTCTTTCTGTTTCTAATTAATGAATTGGTTTTTCTAGGTTAATTTTTTTTTTCATTTTATTTGAAAGGTAGAGAGACAGAGTGAGAGATCTTCCATCTGTTGGCTCACTCCCCAAATGCCCGGAACAGCCAGGGCTGGGGCCAGACTAAAGCCAGGAGCCTGAAACTCCATCCAGGTCTCCCATATAGATAACAGGGAGCCAAGTATTTGAGCCATCACCCACTGCTGTGTCCCAGGGAACGCATTAGCAGGGGAGACGGATGGGCAGTGGGAGAGCCAGGTCTTGACCCTGCACGCTGATACGGGATGCAGGCATTTTAAGTGGTGACTTTATTGCCATACCAGACATCCGCCCCTAATGAAGTGTTGGTGTTTTTAGTCACAAATGATTGGATGTTTTCCATGGATCTGTTGAGATGATCATGTGGTCATATAACTGTTCTTCTTTATTGGAGGGGGCAAAACTTGGCTTTTTTTTTTTTTTTTTTTTTTTTTTTTTGACAGGCAGAGTGGACAGTGAGAGAGAGAGATACAGAGAGAAAGGTCTTCCTTTGCCATTGGTTCACCCCCCAATGGCCACTGCGGCTGGTGCACTGCGGTGATCCGAAGCCAGGAGCCAGGTACTTATCCTGGTCTCCCATGGGGTGCAGGGCCCAAGCACTTGGGCCATCCTCCACTGCACTCCCGGGCCACAGCAGAGAGCTGGCCTGGAAGAGGGCCAACCAGGACAGAATCCGGCACCCCGACCGGGACTAGAACCCGGTGTGCCAGCGCCGCAAGGCGGAGGATTAGCCTAGTGAGCTGCGGTGCCGGCAAAACTTGGCTTTTGTAAGCTAAGCCATCCTCGAGTTCCTGGAACGAGCCTGACTGGATTGTGATACTGCTTTGTGCCTTATTTGCTGATAGTTTACCGAGGAGTGCGTTCGCGTTTCTAAGTGACACTGCCCTGTAATTTTCTTTTCTGGCCCTGCTGCTGTTCAGTCCTGGCACCACAGGCACAGCACCCTCATGCAGTGAGGTGGGTGGCGCCCCCTGCTCTATTCCTGGAGCTCCGTGGCCCGGGACTTGGATCAGGTGTCTCTTCAAGGTTTGCTAAAAGTTGCCTGTGAAACTGTGCTGACTTTCATTGCTGTTGTCGTTTGGTTATGAGTATATTCTGGGATCAGTCTTGATATTTCTTTACACAAGTATTTCTTTTGCTAGATCTTCAAGTTATTAGTTTAATGTTATTTTCTCTTATTTCAAAAAGGTCTTTTACTGTATCTATAGTTATATTCCCTTTTTCATTTTTTTTAAAGATTTATAGGGCTGATGTTGTAGCATAGTGCGATGCTGGCTTCCCATGTAGACACCAGTTTGAGTCCTGGCTGCTCCACTTTGAATCCAGCTCTCTGCTAATGCACCTGGGAAAGGCAGCAGAAGATGGCCCACATGTTTGGGCCCCTGCTACCCACATGGTAGACCTGGAGGAAGCTACTGGCTCCTGGCTTCTGCCTGTCCCAGCCCTGGCTGGTGCAGCCATCTCAGGAATGAACCAGTGGATGGAAGATCTCGCTCTCTGTCTCTCCTTTTCTCTCTCTGTCACTCTGACTCTCAAGTAAAATAAATACTTTTTTAAAGCTGCGAGCCCAGCACTAAATCCCGGTCTCTCACACAAATGAACGGGACTCAAGTACTTGAGCCAAGGGTGTGCATTAGCAGGGAGCTGCAGTTGGGAGTAGAGCCAGGGTTTGAATCCAGGCACTGTGGTACTGCATACAGCATTCCAAGTAGCACCTTAACTAACTGCTATGCCAAACACCTGCCCCAGTTTATCCAATTATAAAATTATTCTTCTGTTGATCTGTCTTGAAGTTCACATACCCCTTTTTCTATCTTTATTCTTTTAAATACTTCCAGTGAAGTTTTAGTTTCAGATATATTTTCTTTTCTTTTTTTTTTTTTTTTTTTTTGACAGGCAGAGTGGATAGTGAGAGAGAGAGAGACAGAGAGAAAGGTCTTCCTTTGCCGTTGGTTCACCCTCCAATGGCCGCCGCGGCCGGCGCACCGCGCTGATCCGATGGCAGGAGCCAGGAGCCAGGTGCTTTTCCTGGTCTCCCATGGGGTGCAGGACCCAAGCACCTGGGCCATCCTCCACTGCACTCCCGGGCCACAGCAGAGGGCTGGCCTGGAAGAGGGGCAACCGGGACAGAATCCGGCGCCCCGACCGGGACTAGAACCCGGTGTGCCGGCGCCGCAAGGTGGAGGATTAGCCCATTGAGCCACGGCGCCGGCCCAGTTTCAGATATATTTTCAACTCTAGAATTTGCTTTCTTTGTCATAGTTTCTATTTCTGTTTCCCTTTTTTGCCCCCATTTATCATAACCATATTTTCCTCCACTCCAGCATGCATAGTTATAATAGCTGCTTTAAAATCTTTTCCTGGGAATCCCATCATTTTGGTAATATTGGGATTGGTTTCAGTCATCCTTTTTCTTGAGATTGGATCAAATTTTCCTTTTTTCGGGGGGTGACTATGAAATCATTGGGATTATGTTGCAAATGTTATTGTGTGAACTCTGACGTGTTCCCCTGGAGACTGTCGTTAAAAAAAAAAAGATTTATTTATTTAAAATTCAGAGTTACACAGAAAGAGGAGAGGCAAAGAGAGAGAGACAGAGAGAAAGACAGAGAGAGAGACAGAGAGAGCGAGGTCTTCCATCCGCTGACTCACTCCCCAATTGGCCTCAGTGGCCAGAGCTGTGCCGATCTGAAGCCAGGAGCCAGGAGCTTCTTCCGGGTCTCCCACGTGGGTGCAGGGACCCAAGGACTTGGACCATCTTCTACTGCTTTCCCAGGCCATAGCAGAGAGCTGGATGGGAAGTGGAGCAGCCGGGTCTTGAACCGGCGCCCATATGAGATGCCAGCACTTCAGGCCAGGGCGTTACCCCACTGCGCCACAGCTGATCCAGCTTCCTATTAATGCAAACCCTGGGAGGCAGCAGGTGATGGCTCAAGTACTTGGGTTCCTGGATTAAGTTCCAGGCTCCTGGGCTTGACCTGGCCTAACCCTGGCTGTTGTGGACATTTGGGGATGGAAGACCTCTCTGTCTGTCTCTGTCTCTCTGCCTCTCAAATTAAAATGAAAATTAAAAAAGAAATTATTAGACAAAAAAAGAACTACTGGCATGGCCCTTATAGAAGAAGGGGCAGCCGGGCTTCCTTAGCTCAAAGCTAGGAAGGTGGGATTGTGGGGGTTTGAAACACATTTGCCACTGCTGGGGGACACAGGGGCGAGCCCTGGCAGCTGGAGTGCCCAGGGGAGCCACTGTGGTGCCCAGGGAACAGCTGGTTCTCGTGCCCAGCCAGACCTGGGTGAGGCTGCCCCTGCCGGAGGGCCCAGCTGTGCTCCTCTGTTCCCTTCGCCGTGTGCCTGGTGGCGACTCAGGTGCTGGGGCGTGAGGAAGAGGTGAGGGAGAAGGGAAAGCCCAAGAAGGAATCCCCCCGTCTTGTCTTTAAGGATGGGCAGCTGCCGCCTGCTGGCCTCCTAGTGCGGTCCAGGGAGAACGGGCGCCCTGCAGGGTGATTGGAAGCATTCTAACGACCAGCTGCCTGGAGGCAGTGTTCTAGTGGTGGGAGGGCACTCTGTTCCCAAGCACAAACAGAAAAGCCATGGGCATTCTGAGAGTGGGGGAAGATCATTTTCAGGAGCTGGCAGAGGACATGCACGTGCTGTGTCTCGATCACAAATGGTTCGGGGTTGACACGCCGGTTATAATATTTAGCTGCATGGCCAGGGCAGGCACAGTGGTTAACTTGCTGCTTGGGACGGCTGCATTCCATGTCGGATCCTGACTCCACCTCCTATTGCAGCCTCCTGCTAATGCCCTCTTGGGGACAGCAGGTGAGAGGGCCTGCCATCCATATGGGAGAATTGCATGGAATTTCTGGCCGCTGGTTTCAATCTGGCCCCGGCCCTAGGTGTCGTGGGCATTTGGGGAATGAACCAGTGGATGGAAGATTGCTCTCTCTGTGTCTGTCTTTCAAATCAGTGAAACAGCAAACAAGCCCAGGGTAAGTTATTTTTTAAATAAATCTATGGCTAACAGATTCTCAGCAAACATTGATTCCTGTCTGTCTTTTCTGATCTGAAATCCATATCTTTTTTTTAAAAAAAGGATTTTTTATTTTACTTTTCTGAAGAGTTACAGAGAGAGAAGAGAGAGAGAGAGAGAGATCGAGATCTTCCATCCACTGGTTCACTCCACAAATGGCCTCAATGGCCAAAGCTGTGCTGGTCCAAAGCCAGGAAGCAGGAGCTTCCTCCAGGTGTCCCACATGGGCCATCTTCTGCCGCCTTCCCAGGTGGATTAGCAGGGAGCTGGATCAGAAGCGGAGCAGCCGGGACTCAGACACACATTTGGGATGCCGGTGCCGCAGGCAGTGGCTTTACCCATTATGCCACAGCGCTGTCCCCAAAATCCATGTCTTCAAGTGAGTCCATGCACGCATTTTGAGGCACGATAAAAGACTCTTGTCTGTTAGTGCAGAAATCTCATTCTGTGTGGAAGGAAACTACAGGGACCACCTCCGCCCTCCTCTGTTAGCTTGGCAAATGAACTCCCGTTGAAAGTTCAGACACCATTCAGTGAGACACCCAGCATGCACAGACTCTGACAGGTGCTCCAAAAAGTAGGACCGGCCTCTGGCCAGGCTTCCAGATTGTACGCACACAGAGAGAGAGAGCACGCTGCACTCTTGCGGCAGACGGCCCTGCCTCCCTCTCGGTGACGCGTGTTTCCTCCTCCAGATGGTCAGATCCATCCAGATGGACTTCGGCTTCCTCAGACAGCTGCTGCAGTTGAGGTTTGAGGACCAGCTTAAGGAGCAGTCGCTAAACCTCTTCAACACTCTGCACGACAGGATCCTGGAAGTGGAAAAGCACTACCAGCAGGTAGACCCCCGCTTGGCCTGCACGCGGGCGGGCCTTGCGCGCGGACCTGTAGCACTGCGTTTGGAATTTAGCAGGGCGGTTTGATTCGTGTGAATCGTGCCCCATACACGTGGGGCTAATGCACGTGGCTCTCCTGTGTCAGGAACTTCCGTACGTGCTTTGTGTAGGAGCTCATTTAATCCTCACGCCGACCTTACAGCGTAGGTCTGACTGTGTCTCCTGTTTTACAGGAGGGCTGACCAGCTTGCTCAAGTCACCGGTTAGGAAGCAGCGGGGCTCCGTTTCCAGCCCTCACTGCCTGGTGCTTGGAGTTCTCGCTCTGACCCCACAGTTCTGGCTCTGTGGGAGCCAAAGACACTAAAACAGCCACTTCTAGCAGTTTCCTATAATCTTTGTTCAGGGTAGCACACTCGCCTGTTGCTAGGAGCAGGCATCACTGTTACTTCTGTGTTAACAATAACAAAATTCCCTTATCTAAGGCTTACTGCCTGGTATGATTGTCTGTGTGTATGGCAGACCGTACTGTAGCCCATAAACGTGCACACGTGTTACATGCTAATCCAAAACAACAGACAACAACGACAACAACAAAATCCCTCGTTTTCTTGTTGGCCACACCACTTTAGGTACTTTGCTAAGCTTTTTCAATATTTTTGCTCTCTAAATTCCCTCAACATCCTAAACTGGAAATTCTGTTTTCCTTGATCCATAGAGAAGGAAACAGTTTGCCAGCGGGAAGTCTGGTGGCCGTCGGGGCCCAAGGACACTGGCATTGGCTTCCATTCAAGGCTGCCTGGCCTTCAGGATGGGATCCAAATTGATATCGGTCTCAGAGGCATTACAAAAACATACAAAAAATACTGTCTTTCATGGTTATCCTCAGCAGATCAACCAACGTATTGGATTAATGATTCTTGCTTACAGATTGGCCACTGTATGTAGAGTTCTGAGCATATCCCATGACAGAAGCACAGGACCAGGGGAGGAGAAGGAGTCAGAAACAGACGCCACCGCTGTTTAAAAAGCAGCGCTAGGAAGACACAGGGAGACTTGAGCTGTCGTGTAAATGAAGGGTTCAGACGACGCGGGCCGATGTCGTGCCTGTGGCCTCCCTGTGACTTTGGGTGGAGCCCGTGGAGAGTCTGAATGTGCTGCCCGAGCTGCTGGGAGGGAGAAGGGCTCTCAGAACTCGGGCTGCTGGTTTTTCCACCGGAAGTCCCCCACCCCGCCCCCACCAGCGCACGTGAGTGGCGTTGGGAACGCGCCCTGGTGCTAACCCTCTGTCCTTGTGGCTTGCAGAACGAGGACAACATGAGGAAGTGCTTCTACCAGCAGCTGGCCGACGCCATCGCCGTCATCAGAGGGTCCTACCAGGTGGGGCAGAGCTGGCTGTGGTGTCTGGGGCGCTCGCCTTGGACTCCGGGGCTGGGCTGTCCACTCCGAAGATCCATGTCTTCTCAGGGGGGTCGGGCCTCCCGCAGTTCACTCTCACACCAGGTTCAGCAGAGTAACGCTTTGTGCTGCGGGATTCTGCTTCCCCCCAAAGTGGAAAATTCCTTCTGGTGCCCGAGGCCCCCGGGCAGGTGCCTACGTACCGCAGAGCAGGACTGGTGGGGAGGCAGTGGCGTGGAGTCCGTGAGATCTGTGCACTCCGTGGAGGGACTTTTCTGTCGGTCACATGTGCTCCTGTCGGCAGGCTGCACAGGGATGGCGTAGTTAGCAGGGTTTACGGGAACACCTCGGTTACTCCTGCGGGGTGCTTTGGGAAGGCTTCAAGGAGGAGGTGATGGTTGTGCTGAGCTTTCTTTTTTATTTTTTAATTTAAAAGTTTTTTTTTATTTTTTAAGGTTATTTATTTGAGGAACTACACAGAGAGAGAGAGAGAGAGAGAGAAAGAGGGAGAGGGAGGGAGGGAGGGAGGGAGGAAAGGGGAGAGAGAGAGAGAGAGAGAGAGAGAGAGAGAGAGAGAGAAACTTCCATCCGCTGGCTCACTCTGCCTGCAATGGGCAGAGCAGAGTCAGGGCAGAGCCAGTAGCTTCCTCCTGGTCTCCCACGGGGGTGCAGGGGCCCAGGGACTTGGGTCATCTGCTGCTGCTTTTCCAGGCCATCAGCAGGGAGCTGGATTGAAAGTAGAGCAGCCATGGCCGGTGCCGCGGCTCACTAGGCTAATCCTCCACCTAGCGGCGCCGGCACACCGGGTTCTAGTCCAGGTCAGGGTGCCGGATTCTGTCCCGGTTGCCCCTCTTCCAGGCCAGCTCTCTGCTGTGGCCCGGGAGTGCAGTGGAGGATGGCCCAAGTGCTTGGGCCCTGCACCCACATGGGAGACCAGGAGAAGCACCTGGCTCCTGCCTTCAGATGAGCGCGGTGCGCCGGCCACAGTGCACCAGCCGTGGCGGCCATTGGAGGGTGAACCAACGGCAAAGGAAGACCTTTCTCTCTGTCTCTCTCTCTCACTATCCACTCTGCCTGTTCAAAAAAAAAAAAAAAAAAAAAAAAAAAAAGAGTAGAGCAGCCGGGACACAAACTGGCACCCTTATGGGTGCCACATTTCCATTATCTGCTATACGGTGATGCCGGCCTCTGGGCTGAGTTTTACAGCAATAACCCAGCGGGTGGAGAGGAATAGAAGGGGATTCCATGCAGAGTGTTTAGCACGCATGGGTCAGGCGTTTCTGGCGGTAAACGATGAAAACTTAACTCACACTGACATCAGCTACAGAAGGGAGGCCATGAGTGTGTGTGACTGGAAAGTGTCGAGAGACTGATGACTTCAGGAAGGTCAGATCTAGGTGCTCAGATAATAGCCCCGACAAGTTGTCACCCCCTGCTTCTGCCTCCCGCTCCGACGGCTTCCCTGCTAAGCAGACTGCGTCCACACAGTGACAAACAGCCAGCGTGTCTCTTCTCAATCAGGAGTTCCTCTTGGCACCCCACTCTGGCCCTGACCCGCCCTAGTTGTTGTGTGCCCTCCTCACGCCAGGCCAGAGTCACAGGCCCGGCCGGGGAGGTGGTGCTAGTGCAGGGCAGGGAAGGGAGGCCCTGTCACCTGGAGGAGCAGTGCTGGTTAGGTAGAAGCCGTTAGGCGTTGGAAAGAGCAGGTAGGGCCTGGCCAGAGCTTTGCCAGGTGTCACCTTGCCCAGTACACCGGCCACTACCGGGCATGGCTGTTCAAATTTGCCGGATGGCAGCGCTCCAGTGTCGGTGTGGCTCACCCAGGAGCCATGCCAGTGCCCCCGCTGTCTCTGTGCTCTCGCTAGTTAGACCTGAGGCCAGTGCTTGTTCTCTCTGGCTCTCCAGAGAGTGGTGCCCAAGGATCAAGTCCAAGTGTCTTGCCTGGCTTCCCCTCCATGGGTAAGTGTTCAAAGCCGGTGCCAGGATCTTCGCTGTGTAGCTGGAGTGTTGTTAAGCAGAAAGAGGGTAGGAGAGCAGGTGGGCGTTACCTGCGGCCATTGCGGGTGGTGGTGAGGGCAGAGGGCAGGGGGCAGGGGGCAGGAGAGGAGGAAGGAAGCCCCGCCCCACAGTCAAAGGATGAAGGAGACAGATGGCCACATGCAGCCTGCGGGGCTGGCTGTTAAAAAAACCAGCTGTGAGAAAAAAGGAAAAAAAGACCATTTTGAAACCGCTAGAGCAATGGTTATTGTGGAATGAGCTGTGTGTTAATTTTGTTAGATGTGACGCTGGCATTGTGACGCATGTAAGACAGATGTCCCTGGTTGTGAGAGGTGCACCTTGAGAGGTGTCGGAATCCGTGGCGTGATGTGGAGGACACCCTCCGAGATACTTCAGCCCAGAACATGGCCAAACCGTTCTGTCTGTTTCAACATCTTTGTCGTTAAAAAAAGTAGTCATGTTTGCAAAATGTGTTAGCTCTTCAATTCCTTTTACATAAACAAATTTAAGTATGTATTTGGTGTTTCAAAGTCTCCATAAACTTCCCTTTCTAGGGTCGAATAAATGCCAGCTGTCGTTTGTGGTGTGTCACAGTGTTGAATTTCGTGATTTTTGAATGAACTCATGTGGAACTTTTTGAGGCCTGAAATGAGCGGGATTTCTTCTTTGAAAGTTTTATTAGTTTCTATTTATTTAAAAGGCAGTGAAAGAGAAAGAGAGAGAGAGAGAGAGAGAGATTTTTCTGTGTGCTAGTTTCCTCCCCAAATACCTGAACAGCTGGGGCTGGGCCAGGATGAAGCCAGGAACCTGAAACTGGGTCTCCCACGCAGGCGGCAGGGACCCAAATGCTTGAGGCACAACCTGCTGCCTCCCGGGGTGTGCGTTAGCAGGAAGCTGGATCCGAAGCGCAGCTGGGACTTGGACCCAGCTTAGTCTGGGATGTGGGCGTCCCACGTGGCATCTCACACCCTGAGCCACAACGCCCAACAGGGAGGGGGCTCTTTGAAGACAACTCATGTTTGCTTCAGTGAGACTCCTGGCTGTGTGATTTCTGTAACCTAATTCAGGTTACTATTTAGACACGTGTAAGTTTGTGGACTGCATACTCCGTGGGCCATCTCCCGTTCCCCCTCTTCCCGGTACGTAGAGCCAGTTTCTAGATAGAAGCCACTCCCGGTGCAGGGGGTAGGAGTGGGTGTCACGTCCGTTCTCGCACTGGAAGGCTGGCCCTGGCCCTGTGGTGTCCTGAGTTGTTTTGCACTGCTGCTGGGAGGCGGACCTCAGCCTGGTCTATTCTCTGCACCCCGGGTAGAGTTTAAGCCGCAGATCAGAATCCCCTGGCTTAGCAGTGCCGTGGAAGTGCAGGCCCGCGCGGGAGTGCCGCATACTCCTCCAGGCTCAGCTGTCAGCTCGCCGACACGTGCAGTGCGCAGCGTCTGGCGTGCACATCGGTTACGGCGGAAGGCAGGGTCCCGTGATGCTACACACCAGTTGCTATGACATTGATTTGTTTATAATGTGTAGAAGATGCCCAAGCATGTGGCAGCATAGTAAAGATCTCTCTCTCTCTCTCTCACACACACACACACCGTGTCACTTCTTTTTTTTTTTTTTAAGATTTATTTATTTATTTATTTGAAAGTCAGAGTTACACAGAGAGAGGAGAGGCAGAGAGAGACAGAGGTGTTCCATCCACTGGTTCACGCCCCAATTGGCTGCAACAGCCGGAGCTGTGCTGATCCGAAGCCAGGGGCCAGGAGCCTCCTCCAGGTCTCCCACATGGGTGCAGCGGCCCAAGGACTTGGGCCATCTTCCACTGCTTTCCCAGGCCACAGCAGAGAGCTGGATCAGAAGTGGAGCAGCTGGGACTCGAACCGGCACCCATATGGGATGCCGGCGCCTCAGGCCAGGGCATTACCCCACTGCGCCATAGCGCCGGCCCCAGTGTCACTTCTGTATGTACACTATTCATACTTCTAGCAGTAGAAATCCCTGACAGCATTACATTCTTGGTATTCATTAGTTTTTCATAAACACGCGCTGGTTAACTACATTCAACCACAAGTGGATTAATTGTAGCTACTTGGCCTTATCTGATGAAAAACTTGTTTATATTTTATTAGAGTCATTATTTAAATCTTCACCCTGGCATGTTGGCATTGCTGTGACCCCTGACCCCCGGCAGCCCTCCCCATCCTGGCCGCCCAGCTCAGTCATAAGAGAGCAGAGCAGAGTTAAACAGCTCCTTGCTCCGCAGGTTTTGCCGAGGGCATGCGTGAACGCCTCGCGTCTGCCCTCTGCAGGCCAGTTCAGGATACAGCGCCTTTTTAAAAACCAGCTTTGGGCACGTTTCTGACTTTTAAAACTATTGCTTGTGTGGTATTTTAGTATCCCATTTACAGGTAGAAGAAAATATTTTTTGAAAAATTGCATCTTATGTAGCTATTTTTGGTTCTGGAAATGGTTTAGGCAAGATTCATATAAAAATATTCTGGGGTATTTCAGACACACGTAGAGAGATTTAGGCACCTCTCAGAATGGAGGAGCGAAGCTTAGGCATGCCATCAGTAGCTTTCAAACTGACATGCAGGGTTTTTGCACGTCATTCTTGGCACGTATGCCTTTTCCATTGATTTGTGGTGTTCCTGTCCTATAACTGTGAGTTGTATTTCTAGGCTACCCTGCTATTTTGTGGCTCTGTATTGCTTTTTTGTGTAAAAATTTTGAGGGTTATAATGTGTTTTAGATTATCCATCTATTTAAGAGGCAGACACAGAGAACAAGCCCCCATCTGCTGGTTCACTTTCTGTATGCCCCAACGCCGACAAGAGCTGGGGCGGAGCTGGTCTGGGCCAGGCCACAGCCAGGAGCTGGGCCCTCCGTCTGGGTCTCCCACCTAGGAGTCAGGAGCCCGATTCTGGAGCCACCACTGCTGCCTCCCGGGGTCTACACTGGCAGGGAGCTGGAGTGACGAGTTCGAGTCAGGCATCAAACCTGGGTACTCTTATGTGGCCCATAAGCACTAGATCCAATGCCTGCCTTTATAATACAGTCTTTTTAATGGGGAAAAAGATCTTCATAGAACACCAATAAATATAGAGTGATAAAGTTAGAACGTCGGCATTTTACAAACTTCACAGCGGTGAGTGATTTAGGCAGAATTAATAAGCATTAAAAGCATTGGTGAATATAATACATTTTCATATCTAGTAAGCTTAGATCTTTTTTCATTAAATCTCTCTCTCAAAATTTTCTCCCCTTTTTAATTCTTCCAGATAGATTTCAAAATAATTGGCCTCTTTTTTTTTCTTTTGCATTTTTACCAAACTTCGGTTAAAAATTTATTCATGAATTCTGGCAGAAACCATATCCTCTATATTCTTCCATTTTCCTTACCAAAACTGTCTCCTATTTCTTGATTCAGTTATGTCTTACTTTATGGGTTTCAGTTAAGTTTTATAGTTTTAGTCATGTTGGTTGTATGCATTTCTCATTTAACTCAGTTATTCCTAAATATCATATTTTATTTCGTTAGCAAATGTAATGTCATGTCATATTTTCAATGTCTACTGTTAGTATATATTGAAATTTTTTTATCAGTTTTATTGAGGTAGGATTTATATAGCATAAAAGTCACCCACTGAAAGTGTGCAACCTAATGGCTTCTAGAAGGTTTACAGGGTTGTGCAACCATCACTGTAAGGTAATTTTCAAATTTTCTGTCACCCCAAGGAGAAACCTTAACCCGCTGGGAGCCACTCCCCACTCCTCTCTTCTCTTCCCCCGTTCCACATTTCTGGCAACAGCTAATCTCTCTCAACAGCTTGCCTTTCTGCACATTCTGTCTAGGTGGCACCACGCTCTCTGTGCACTTTTCTTATTGACTTGTTTTACTTAGCATGCTGGTTCTTACGTGAAACCAATGGTTGTCATAAATACAATAGCCCTTCACCGTATTGAGGGATTTCCAGGTGCGCAATTGGCGGATCTAATTTTTTACTGTTCTTAGTCAATTAATTTGTATTTTCTTTTTGTCCATTTTTTTTCTGAAAGAGAGACAGACATAGAAAGAGTGCTTCTCTTGATTCATTCCCCAGATGTCCACAACAGCCAGGAACGGAGCAGCCCAAAGCCAGGAGCCAGGACGGAACTCAGCCGACGTCTCCCACGTGGGTGGCAGGGACCCCAGTACTTGGGCCATCACTGCCCCTCCCAGGGTGTGCGTGAGCAGGCAGCAGAAATTGGGAATGAAACTAGGACGCCAGCCCAGGCACTGCAGTGTGGGATGTGGGGGTCCCAACTGCCATCTTAACTGCTGTGCCACCCCCACTCCCATTTATATTCTCTGAGTTCCCGCATGTACTAACTGGAGATTACGGTATTCCTGTCTTTATTTCTCAGATGTTTGTCTCTTTTTTATGCTGGTCTGAAGTTGCCAAATAATATTAAATAGAGTCAGGCTGCTGATTCTTCCTTCGCTGGTAGTGAACCTGACGAGAATCCCCAATTGTTAAGTACAGTCACGGCATCTGGTGTGAGACAGTCTGTTGGGTCCCTTCGTTGATGGAGAGCAGGGTGGGAAGAGGGTCTGGCCGGTTAGTCCTCCAGGGTGGGCTGCTGAGTGGAGATGCAGTTAGCTGAGTGTCCCGGTGCACAGGGCGAACAGGCAGACATGGCAGGCATGCCTGGGGCAGGCAAGAGGACACGGCCAGAGACGCCCAGCTCCCACCTCAGAGTGCGTGGCTTCAGGTTCCCATTTCTGCTTCCTGCTAATGCGCACCCTGGGAGATAGCAGGTGGCAGCTCCAGTGCTTGGACCTGGAGTGAGTTCTTAGCTCCCAGTTTAGACCTGGTGCAGCCCTGGTCATTGTGGGCGTGAACCAGCAGATGGAACCTCCGTCTCTCTCCCCTCCCCCAGAATCTCCCTACCTCTCAAATAAATCAAGCAAGCAAGTACGTAAATAAGCATTTTTTTAAAATAAATAAGTTTTAAAAGGGAATACTTGCCTTTGGGGAAAGCAAATGTCGCATTAGTGGGGGCTGGCGTTGTGGCATAGCAGGTAAAGCCACTGCCTGGGAAGCAGGCATCCCAGACGGGCACTGGTTTGCGTTCACCTTCTGATCCAGCTCCCTGCTAATGGCCTGGGAAAGGCAGCAAAAGGTGGCCCAAGTGCTCAGCCCAAACTGGAGCATCTCTTCCCTTACCTCTGGCCTTTCTCCCGAGCCCCCTGGGCTCACGTGGTGGTGTCTGATCTCCCCATCACCCAGCTGGAAACCTCCAAGTCACAGCTTGTGCTGGACACACTCTACTTGCTTCTTTGAAAGGCAGGCAGACAGATAGCTTCCATCTGCTGGTTCACTGCCCAAATGCCCACAACAGCCTGGTTTGGGCCAGGTCAAAACTGGAAGCCTGAAACTGGGAACTCCATCCCGATCACCCACGTGGGCAGCCAAGACCCCACATCTTGAGCGTGACCTGCTGTCCCCAGGGTGTGTGTGAGCAGGAACTGGGACTTGAGGCCAGGCGCTCCAGTGTGGGATCCAGGCATCCCGCGTGGTGGCTTAACTGCTGGGCCACTTGCCTGCCCTTTGGACAGGCCCTAAAGGTGGCCCAGGACCCTGGTCTGGTGTGCGTGAGCCTCACCCCCGTCTCCCTCAGTGAGAGCAGGACATGGAACTGACCTGCAGGAGAACTGATAGGCAGCAGGGACACCAAGTCGAGCCTTTGTATTCAAGGGACCACCGTTGTTTTTTTTTTTTTTTTTTTTTTTTTTTTTGACAGGCAGAGTGGATAGTGAGAGAGAGAGACAGAGAGAAAGGTCTTCCTTTGCCGTTGGTTCACCCTCCAATGGACGCCGTGGCCAGCGCACTGCAGCCGGCGCACCACACTGATCCGAAGGCAGGAGCCAGGTACTTATCCTGGTCTCCCATGGGGTGCAGGGCCCAAGCACTTGGGCCATCCTCCACTGCACTCCCGGGCCACAGCAGAGAGCTGGCCTGGAAGAGGGGCAACCGGGACAGAATCCAGCGCCCCGACCGGGACTAGAACCCAGTGTGCCAGCGCCGCAGGAGGAGGATTAGCCTAGTGAGCCGTGGCGCCGGCCAGGACCACCATTTTTTAACCTCCCCAGTCCACCCCTTGTTCTGCTCTGAGCCAGTTCCAGGTGAGCCTCACTCCCCTGGTTGCCTTCTTACACCTCCAGGTCTTCAGGGAGTCCAGTCCAGTCTCACCCCTTCCCTGTTTGAAACCCTTCGGCAGTTCCTCCCTGCCCATGGAGGTCTCACGCCACGCACGCGTTCCTTTCTGTTTCTCTCCTGGCCAAGGGCTGCCCGCTTCCCTGCTAGGCTGCCCCCTTCCCACGCCACTGCTCCCGTCGGGCAGGAGTGGATCTTCTCCGGCCAGGGAGCCTGGCACATCAATGGGTCTTTTTTTTTTTCAACTTTGATTTAATGAATATAAATTTCCAAAGTACAGCTTATGGATTACAATGGCTTCCCCCCCATAACATCCCTCCCACCCGCAACCCTCCCCTTTCCCACTCCTTCTCCCCTTCCATTCACATCTAGATTCATTTTCAATTCTCTTTATATACAGAAGATCAGTTTAGCATACATTAAGTAAAGATTTCAACAGTTTGCTCCCACACAGAAACATAAAGTGAAAAATACTGTTTGAGTACTAGTTATAGCATTAAATCTCAATGTACAGCAAACTAAGGACAAAGATCCTACATGAGGAGTAAGTGCACAGTGACTCCTGTTGTTGACTTAACAAATTGACACTCTTGTTTGTGGCATCAGTAATCACCCTAGGCTCTTGTCATGAGCTGCCAAGGCTATGGAAGCCCCCTTGAGTTCACTGACTCTGATCATATTTAGACAAGGCCATGGTCAAAGTGGAAGTTGTCTCCTCCCTTCAGAGAAAGGTACCTCCTTCTTTGATGACCCATTCTTTCCACTGGGATCTCACTCACGGAGATCTTTCATTTAGTTGTTTTTTTTTTTTTTTTTTTCCCCAGAGTGTCTTGGCTTTCCATGCCTGAAATACTCTCATGGGCTTTTCAGCTGGATCCGCATGCCTTAAGGGCTGATTCTGAGGCCAGAGTGCTGTTAGGACATTTGCCATTCTATGGGTCTGCTGTGTATCTCACTTCCCATGTTGGATCATTCTCTCCCTTTTTGATTCTATCAGCTAGTATTTGCAGACACTATTCTTGTTTATGTGATCCCTTTGGTTCTTAGTCCTATCATTATGATCAATTGTGAACAGAAATTGATCACTGGGACTAGTGAGATGGCATTGGTACATGCCACTTTGATGGGATTGAATTGGAATCCCCTGGTATGTTTCTAACTCTACCGTTTGAGGCAAGACAGCTTGAGCATGTCCCGAATTGCACATCTCTTCCCTCTCTTATTCCCACTCTTATATTTAACAGCAATCACTTTTCAATTAAGTTTCAGCACTTAAGAAGAATTGTGTATTGATTACAGTATTCAACCAAAAGTATTAAGTAGAACAAACAAAAAACTACTAAGAGGGATAACATATTAAGTTGCTCATCAACAGTCAGGGTGAGGGCTGATCAAGTCACCGTTTCTCATAGTGTTCATTTCACTTTAACAGGTTTCCTTTTTGGTGCTCAGTTAGTTGTCACCTATCAAGGAGAACAAGTGGTATTTGTCCCTTTGGGATTGGCTTACATCAATGGGTCTTTAACTCCTGTTCATTGGACCCAGGGCTGAACATGGCCAGGGGAGGAGCCCAGAGAACTTGGCCTGTCCCCTGCATTGGAAATCGGAGATGAGTCCCCGTGGGAGTTCCCCAGAGCAAGGGCAGTGGCAGCCTTAGCTGCATTCTCACTCAGTCATTGTCCTTGAATGGAAGTTGTTCTTAATGTAGCGGTCAAGAGAGAAGCGTGGCCATTATGGCGGGGCTTGCACCGGCGGGTGCCTGGCTCTTCCTGCTGGTCAGGAAGCTCCGCGTGGAAGGATGATGGCAGCTGGGGAAGATGGGAGGGAGTGGGCGCCGTGGCGGGTGTGGCCACGTGGAGGCAGCGAGCCGGGTGCAGTCAGGGGCCCTGCCATGGCTACACAGCAGGAGTTCTGGAGGAGGAGGAGGTGAGGGGGTGCGGGTGGAGGGATCTGTGTTCTCCCAGAGACATCAGAGAGCAGTCGTGGTCTCACGAGACACTGGACTCGGGAGTTTGAATGAGAAGCCTCACTGGGGTGTCTGCGAGACTCCATTAAGAACTTCCCTCTTCCCACAAAGGCTCCGGACCATCGCAAAAAATGGAGCCAGGGAGGCCTCCGAGGGAGACCACCTGTCCTGCTGGCAGGGGTGCCGCTGGAGAAGGTGCCGGCCACGTGACGGCAGATCCCCCGTCGGCAGCGGCTGGGGCAGGTCTTCTCCTTGGCCAGGGCCGGCCCTGTGCTCCGGGCGGAGCAGGGAGGCAGGAGCCGTGCCTCTTGCATGTGATCTAAAGGGCGTCACCCTGCACCAGAGGGAGCAGCTTTCCCTGCGGGTTCTCTTCTTCTGGCACACAGAACTTCAGTGTGGGGGCTGCGATCTGCCAGGGGCTTGTCACTGCCACTCCAAGACCACCCAGTGCCCCTCTGGGGACCCCAGGGACTCTGCATCAGGTTAGAAGACGGCGTTGTCCACGTCCAGGGCCAAGGGCACTGTGATGGGTAGTCGTAGGTCTCAACTCGATGCACCAGTGGGCACCTGGGTAGCTGCTGAAGTGTTGATTTTCCTCTGGAGAAATTGGCTGTGGAATCAGCGCACTGAGTAAGATGGGTGGGCCCTTGCCTGCTGTGGGCAGGCCTGTCCAGTTGACTGAGGGCCTGGAAAATAGAAAAGGGAGGCTTGCTCGCTCTCTCCTCCCCGCCTGTCTTCCAGAGCTGGGACTTGTGTCTCTTCCTCCCCAAGCGCACCAGCACTCCAGGTTCCAGCCTTTGGGCTCTTGGACTTGCACCGGCAGCCGCTCAGGCGCTCAAGCCTCTGGTCTTGGATTGAGAGTGACACCATCGACCGCCCTGCTTCTCAGGCCTTTGTCCTTGAACTAAGCCATGCCCTGGACTTGCTCATTCTCCAGCTTGCAGGAAGCATTCTGTGGGACTTCTCAGCCTCTACACTGATTACACGAGCCAGATCCCCGAGACCACGGGAGCTGCATTTACACCCCCATCCACCTGCCCCTCTGCCGTTAAATCTACACTCGCCCCTGTACCTTCATCCACATCTGTGCTCACTACAGCTACACCTGCCCCTGTACCTTCATCCACATCTGTGCTCACTCTACAGCTACACCTGCCCCTGTACCTTCATCCACATCTGTGCTCACTTCTACAGCTACACCTGCCCCTGTACCTTCATCCTCATCTGTGCTCACTTCTACAGCTACACCTGCCCCTACACCTTCATCCTCATCTGTGCTCACTCTACAGCTACACCTGCCCCTACACCTTCATCCTCATCTGTGCTCACTCTACAGCTACACCTGCCCCTGCACCTTCATCCACATCTGTGCTCACTTCTACAGCTACACCTGCCCTGTACCTTCATCCACATCTGTGCTCACTTCTACAGCTACACCTGCCCCTACACCTTCATCCACATCTGTGCTCACTTCTACAGCTACACCTGCCCTGTACCTTCATCCAGCATCTGTGCACTACAGCTACACATGCCCTGTCACCTTCATCCTCATCTGTGCCAGGTACACCTGCCCTACACTTCATCCTCGCTGGCTCACTTCTACCAGCTACACCTGCCCCTACAACCTTCATCTACATCTGTGCTCACTCTACAGCTACACCTGCCCCTGTACACCTTCATCCTCATCTGTGCTCACGTCTACAGCTACACCTGCCCCTGGTACCTTCATCACATCTGTGCTCACTATCTACAGCTTACACCCTGCCCTAGCACCTTCATCCACAAATTGTGCTCCTACATGTACACACGCCCCCTACAAACTTCCTCACTGTGCTCACTACAGTCAACCTGCCCCTAGCACCTCATCCATCATCTGTTCTCACTACAGCTACACCTGCCCCTTACACCTTCATCCTCAATCTGTGCTCACTTCTACAGGCTAACACCTGCCCCTGTACACCGTCATCACTCAATCTGTGCTCACTTCTACAGCTACACCTTGCCCCGGGGGGGGGTTACCTTCATCCTCAATCTGTGCACTCACTTCTACAGTTACACCTGCCCCTACACCTTCATCCACATCTGTGCTCACTCTACAGCTACACCTGCCCCTACACCTTCATCCACATCTGTGCTCACTCTACAGCTACACCTGCCCTGCCCTTCATCCACATCTGTGCTCCACTCTACAGCTACACCTGCCCTGTACCTTCATCCACATCTGTGCTCACTTCTACAGCTACACCTGCCCCTGTACCTTCATCCTCATCTGTGCTCACTTCTACAGCTACACCTGCCCCTGCACCTTCATCCACATCTGTGCTCACTTCTACAGCTACACCTGCCCCTGCACCTTCATCCACATCTGTGCTCACTCTACAGCTACACCTGCCCTACACCTTCATCCACATCTGTGCTCACTCTACAGCTACACCTGCCCCTACACCTTCATCCACATCTGTGCTCACTCTACAGTTACACCTGCCCTGTACCTTCATCCACATCTGTGCTCACTTCTACAGCTACACCTGCCCTGTACCTTCATCCACATCTGTGCTCACTTCTACAGCTACACCTGCCCTGTACCTTCATCC